AGAGAGAGCCGTGTCTCCATGTGCAGCACTAGAGAGAGCTGCATCTCAAGTGGGTTTGCAGGACAATGCAGGCTTGAAGTACACCAGGACACAGCTGCCGTTAAGGCAATGAGCAACAGGACATTTCTTCTGAATGTGTCTCTTTTGTCACTCTTATTAGCTCAAGACGGCAAGACGACACGATACAGTTGTCCTAGTACAAGAGATGTGCAGAGCAACATGTTTTTGCTTGTTCAGGCATGAATGACTTTTGTTTTTCTACAGAAAGTCTAGCATAACTTGTATACACGTTAATCAAACAATGGGGGATTGCAAGCAGTTCAGTTAACAATTCTGTTTCTTTTGGGGTTTTTTAAAACACATGCCCATAAATCATAGTACTGTACATTTTCAATAGCTTTCTGCAGCACAGAAAAGAGCACAGTAGAGAGGTGCATCTTTTCCAATTTGGGCAAGACCATACACCAGTACTGCATATATTCGGGGTTATTATGTTACTCGAATGCTTGATAAACTGGGAAAGGATTGAGGTTCATGCTGGCTCACAACCCCCTGACAGAACGCACTTTGCAAATGCAAAATGACTGAGCTGGAAACGAGTGAAATTAGCAGACTACTGCCGCTGAGAAAAGCTGTATCATACGAGCATGACGGAAAGAGAGACATTACAGAACCACAAAGTATCTACCTGAGAAACACAACCCATACACAAACACAACTACAAGCATTTCAAAAGTATAATACAGCAATCTACAGGAGTTGTTCTGGTGACCCAGAACTACTGAAGTTATCGGAAATAAACACCACAGCCTATCAAAAAGAAATCATACATAAATAAAAGGTGCACACAAAATTAAAGCAAATACAGGCAGCACACCAACAGTGGCAGGACGCAAAATACAACGAAGAACAAAAGGTGACTCATATAAAACCAGCATGCAGGAGTTCTGGCTCTGCAGATTAGGAAATGGGGAGGCAGCGACAAGCACTCTCATGGATCAGAAGGACGAGCTGCACTGCTCCTGCGCACAAACACGTGCATCGGTCTGAAAAGCCACCCGCCCCCAATGACAGCTGTCAGTCTGTACGCGTCCAGAAGCAGAGAGTCCACTTCGTACACCCGTGTCGTCAAATGCAAATTGGAATATCTGAGTATTGCAGCCAAAAGTAAACATCGCGCAATGCATTTTTCGTCAGCCAAAAAAAGAATTCTGTCATTTGCATTTTAACATGACAAGGTATTTCTTCTATAAAAATAAAACATGGCCTAAACGCTGAATCATAAATTATACGCAGCTCTGGAAGTGCAGTGCCATGCTTTTTATCAAAAGTAAATCATATGTTAAATAATCCTTCAATATATATGTATAACTATATACATCAAAGTGCACTGTTACTCTGAAGTACAGCCTTGTCACAAGGCCGATGATGACAACCAGTGATCTGCGCAGTACACAGGCATATTTAGCATTTCAGTAAACTGTCACAAAGAAATCAGAATTTGCATTTGTCCATTTTGTAAACCTTGTTGAGAAGGTAGTTTAGTTGCTCAAGATGAATTTAGCTTATTCATTATCTTTCATTATTCTCTGTGGACCAATGAGCCTCCATTTTAAAAC